TTTTTTTTTTTTGGTTTAAATTCTTGTTTTAAGTTCAGTTAATGGTTTTAATTTTTTACACTACAATTAATTAATTTTAAAAAAAATTCAAAAACAAATTTTTATACTATTTTTTGTACAATTTTATATGTTATTTAAATGATTGACTTTTTTTTATTCATTTATAACTTGTGATATTGAATACATTTATTTATTTAATGACATAAAAATTGCATAAAAAATTATACAAAAAATTATATAAAAAAATTATCTCTATATTACTACATTTTTTTTTTTGCTGCACAATGAGAGGTAACTATCTCCAATCTCTTATTTCACCCTACTCGCATGTCATGTGATTCAAATTCAAGTCCTCTTACTTTCAACGGAAGGAGATGACTATTGAACTACTTAGATCGTTGGCATTACTACCCATTTTTTAAATTAAACATTTAACCTTAAATAAGGAAGTGAGAATATTTCCCTTCCATTTTTTAGGCCACATGTTAGCTTAAGTGGGCCACACAATGGCTTTCATGACACCACACAATTAAAATTGGGAAGTTCCGTTAATGCAGTTAACGGAGTTGTATAGGAGTAGATGAAAATGAAACAATTTTAAAAGTTAGTAGATGAGTTTGAAAGAAAACAGAAATTCTAGACTAAAATGAAAAAAGAGTAATAGTTAATAGATGGTTTCTTAAATTAAGTCATAAATATATCTATATATGAAAAAATGTAATCATTGCATTAGATAAAGCCTAAAGTCCTAAATCAAAAGGGGATTAAAACTGGGCGATACTGCAGGTTTAATGCACGGGGGTTAGAATCTTGTTAAAAAAGAAAAAAAAAAGGTCTAGTATTTAGTTGACGAATTCATTGTTTGGCCAGTTTTGGGTGGGTGGCCGGTTGTACGTAGAGTGTGGAGGGATAAGCATATCCAAAAAAGGTTGTAAGGGATAAATAATCCACCATAATCTCCATTCAAAATAAAAAAGTGAAAATCAAAAGTTTGATTTGGGACTTTGAAAAGAATGGAGATTAATAAATGGGTATACAACTTTCTTTTAATTTTAAATAATTTAAAAGAATCTCCAATCAATAAAAGAGTAGAAACCAATTAATCTATATAAAATTTAATTACGGAATAAAAAATAAATAGAGTTGAATAGATGCATGTACAACCTTCTTTTAACTTTTTTCTTTTAACTAATTATTCTTAAAATAAAAGAATGATGAGAGATTTACATGCTGCCACATAAAAGTAGAGTTTGACTATTGTTGGGGTTGGCAGTTGATGAGTCAGCAGCAATGATAACATGAAAGCTAACTAGGATACCCACTTACGGGAGATGAGAAGGGTTCTTTTAGCTTGCACCTATTTCATGTGCAAGAGGCCATGTGCCACAGGTCATCTCCTTCTATCTAGCGAAGATAGTTTGCTTCAAATTCTCCAGCAAAGTCTGAAAGAATAACTTCCCCAACTAAGCCAAGAGAGCTAGGCAATGGTGATAGGGTTTCAAGAGCCTAGACCGATTATAAAATTACCAAAGATAATGAAAAGGAGTGTACATTATAGTAGGAGCAACAAGGATATAAAATATATAAAGATCAAATGTTATAACTTGAGAAGCACATTTAGATAAAATACATTGTAGAATAATAGTAAACACAGTAGATGTGTGCTTTGCTATCCTTGACAAATACTCTCACTCTAAAACGAGCAACCCTTATGTTGTGGTTAAAAATACAATAATCTTCTTCAAGCTTCCACAAAACAAAGAAGAATAAACTTGAAAGTAGTGATGAGAGAAGGAAGGATGATCGTTGTAGGGGCTTTTGAATGGAAGACTTGATCCCACTTGGTGATGTTAGTTTTGCCAGTTGATCCTCTGATGCTTAAGAAAGACAACCCAGAATCTTAAACTATAGCATGAAATTCCCTAGCCATGATGTGCGCTATAAGTCGAGAGTATGTCTTGTATGGCTGGAAGTGTAGAAAATATGAGAAAAATGGAGATTTTTGGGGAGTTTTGTGTGAGGTAAGAGGTTGAAGATGCAAAATTTTTTTTGAGAACTCTAGGAATAGTTTTTCTTGTGTGAAAAGTGAAAAATCCCTCGAAAAATAAAGGAAAAATAAAATTTATATATGTAGTGGCATTTTGGTAATTTTGAGTTGGTGAGGCTAGAGTAGCCCAACAATCCAATAGGTAGGTTTAGGTTGTGTGAAAACAGGTGTCAAGTTTTAAGGGGATCTGAGCACTATCGACAACTTTTGGAGTGCAATAATAGATTATCCAACGTCTCCAGTGGAGGACTATTGGTTCATTGGAAACTTCCCATTCCTAGTAACCCTCTATTTATGCAAAATGCCACATTTAGTGTGCAATTGAGCGCTATTAGCAAAACCACCTCTATTCAAGATTTTGATGACTTCCCCAAGCAAAATATAATCTTTTTCATCTGTTTCCCATGTAATGAAACTTGCGCAACCGTTTATGCATTAAACACAATTGTAGGCTAGTGATTGAGATTCGAATGGTATCTTTGGTTGATTTTTAATGGAATTCCAGGAATTCTAGTTAGCATCAAACGATGCAGTTTTGGGATTGAGTTTTGCCTCTATGTGTTTGCCACCCAACTCTTCCTAGCGAAGATGAGTAACATCATCAGCTCCAAGCTTAATTGGAGTGAATAACTTACTTCACCAAGCGGGCAACGGTCATCCATCTATGCCTGCCAAGCCACTACTCCCATAGTTTTTCTTGAATAATCCCCATGAACTGGGATTCATGGGTTTGTGTTCATTTGCATCAAAGAGCAAAATATAAATGAGTATTTGTTCAAATGTAAAGTGTAAAATATATAAACATGTGCAGTAAAGAAGAATACTCCCTTGTGGCTTGAAATAGATAAGGACAATAAACATTGTTGCGCCTCTTTATCCACTGGCCATAGGAGGCACTTATATAATTTATTGTATAAGTTTGGCGATGTGCCAAGATAAAGGATGAATGATCTGGATGTGTGTTGCCATATGGTTTTATTGAGCCAAGCACCATTAGTTGATGCTGTCTGCTAACACATAAAAAATAAAAGAAATATGTTATAGATTGAGATTACTAATGATTGGTAATTTTGTCCTTTATATAGAAAGAATAATAGAGTGCATGAGCACTGACCATGTTAAATATCATTGGGTCAACCAAGGGTTAGACAAGAATAGCTTTCCCATAGCTAGAGTGACAATAATGGCTAGCTTTGCCTATAGCTAGAGCATGAATTATGTGGAATTGGAAGAGCATTCCCTGTAATCTGTCAAGTTGTGAAGGGGATAAATCTCATCAGTCCAAAACTCCAACATAACGATGAATATGATAAGAAATGGATGGAGTGTTGTTCATGGAAAAGGGATTTCTCGCAACATCCATGGCCTCCAATATGGATAAGGTGTGATACCACGATTGGGCACTGCACCACCATGCATAGGCGACCACCAAGGAGTTACCGGCCACAACTTGATGGGTTTTTATCATTGGAGGGTAACAATCCCAACCAATAGTAGGGTTGCAATTGTTACGGGCCTCATGCTAATTGTATCAAGTTGCATTGACTCTTTATTCGTTTTCGAGAGCTAGTAAAATAAAATATGTAGAGATCTAACCCTTTGTTTTTTGGGAGTCGATGTAATGAAATTGTGTTGAAATGTGTAACCTTTTGCCCATTTTTGAAGGTTAAGTAAAATAGCAAGTCTGCCCTTTTGTCCATATCTGGGAGCTATATAGATGTAGAATTAGCTCGTTGTCCATTGATGGGAAGTAGTGATAGAAATACATAAAATAAATGTTGGCCCTTTGTCCATCGCTAGGAGTTATATAGATGTAGTAAAATAAGCTCGTTGTCTTTTGATTAGAGCCATATATATATAGCAAGATAGGCTCTTTATCCATTGTTGAGAGCCAATTGTAGTTGCAAGCATTGCTATAAAGATCATGATCATCGAAAAACATCTAACCATGTCATGGAAATAAATGTAGTTATGTTTGGTTGTGTATATGAGAATGGTATTGAAATAGATCATGTCTGCAATATTTCTAGTGAAGTAGATGGACATCGCTTCTAGATATACTGACTCTATTATGGTCATCAGTTAGAAAATAAAATATAATAGATTTAATGTGGAAATAGATCAGGTGGGTCCTTCGTAGTCACAAGCCCAAAGCCAGTCTTGTTGACGTGGCATTGTAGGTGTCATGAATTCCAAAGAACAACAAATTTGCCCTCAACATTAGGCCCTCAAGTGGGTGAAGTTGAGATAGCAAGTTTGCCCACTTAGTGTGTAATATCCCAAAATTTTGGGGTATTTTAGCATTAAATTGGGGACTTATTTGAGAAAAAATATT